TTTTTATTCTATGTAAATGCTGAAAAGGAAAGCTGACACTGCCTCTCCTTTGATACTCTTATAAAAAATGCAGTGAAATTAAAACTTACATCCGAGTTCTCTAAACAATCCAGTTAACACCAGCACCATGAATTTTTAAACCTCTATGTTGCTATAGCTTACCAAAGTCATTTCTCTGAAATAAATTTTCTACTTGCCTTCAATCAGGTGAGGATGACCAATTAGCAAATATATATTGCAAGTAAATAATTAACAGGAATTTATGTATGTCTGCATGTATGATAGAGGAGGTTAAAAATAGGGGCCCCTGTTTGGCTCAGTTGGTAGAGCATACGACTCTTGATGTCAGGGTTATGAGTTCAAGCCCCATGTTGGGTGTGGAGACTACTTAAAAAAAATTTTTTTTTAAAAGAAAGAAATTTGAAAGAGGTAAGAAAATAGTAAGAGTAAGAAGCCATCTGCAGATTCAGTGCACTACCTATCAAGATTCTAGTAGCATTTTATTTTAAAAAGATTTTATTTATTTGACAGACAGAGATCACAAGTAGTCAGAGAGGCAGGCAGATAGAAAGGAGGAAGCAGGCTCCCCGATGAGCAGAGAGCCCAATGCGGGGCTCAATCCCAGGACCCTGAGATCATGACCTGAGCCGAAGGCAGAGGCCTCAACCCACTGAGCCATCCAGGCGCCCCTCTAGTAGCATTTTTGATGAACGTAGAAAAAACACTCCTAAAATTTATATGGAACTACAAAAGACTCTGAATATCGAAAGAAATCCTGAGAAAGAACAAAGAAGGAGGCATCATACCTCCTAATTTCAAGCTATCCTATAAACCTACAGTAACTGGGGCGGCTGGATAGCACAGTTGGTTAAGCAACTGATTCTTGGTTTCAGCTCAGGTCATGAACTCAAGAGTTATGAGACTGAGCCCTGCGTTGGGCTATGCACTCAGCGCAGAGTCTGCTTAGGTTTCTCTCTCCCTCTGCCCTTCCCTGCCCCCATGTGCATGTTCTCTCTCTCTCTAATAAATAAAAAATATATCTTAAAAAAAAAAAATAAAGCGATAGTAATCAAAATGACATGGTACTGACATAAAAACTGACAAACAGACCCATGAACAGAATTGAGAGCCCAGAAATAAACACAAACATATAAGGTCAACTGATATTTGACAAGAGCCAAGAATACTCAATGGAGAAAAATCAGTCTCTTCAATAAATGCTGCTGAAATACCTGGATTTAAAAAAAAGAAAAAGAAAAAGACACAGGCACATGGGTGACTCAGTTGGTTAAGCATCAGACTCTTGATCTCAATTCAGGTTTTGATCTCAGGGTCATGAGTTCAAGAGCTGCGTTGGGCTCCATAGTAGTAGTGGGGTCCACTTAAAAAAAAAAAAAGGAAGGGGATGCCTGGGTGGCTCAGTCAGTTAAGCGTCTGCCTTCAGCTCAGGTCACAATCCCAGGGTCCTGGGACCAAGTGCCACATCACGCTCCTTGCTCAGTGGGGAGCGTGCTTCTCCCTCTGGCTGCTGCTCCCCTGATGATGCTCTCTGACAAATAAATAAATAAAATTCAAAAAAAAAAAAAAAAAAGACAAGAAACTAGAGCAGAACCACAGAATAGGATTTTAACTATGACACTCAACTCTTATCAGCCTTCCACAGCAACCTTCTAAAACACAAACACAATTGATTACTCTTTGTTAAAGGCCCCGATTACTCTCCCTGTCTTCCAAACATGATTTTTTTTGTAGCCCTGACACACACCTTAAGGAGAGGACCCACTCCCCATTAAATTCTCATGGTTCCCCACTCAGCAGCAGTGGCTTTTAGGGGCACTGGTGAAGTCTTGTGTATTTCCCTGCTTTGTGCCTCTTGCCATATTGTCTCCTAAAAAGATCCCTTCTACTCCCCTCCATTTAAAAAAAATAACCTCCTGCATTTAAATAGTACCAATGTTTTAAGCACCAACTCCTTTCACAGCAACTCTGGTCAAATAGTGATCTCTCTTTCCTGACCAAAGTTGTTCTCTCTTCTTGACATTACCATATACCATGGCATTTATTTTTTACACTTGAGTATTTATCCCTCCTTGATTCTAGAAAGATGTTGAGGCAGCTTACCAAAAACAAAACAAAACAATACTATAACTGATCCATTTACATAGAATAAAAATTATAATGTCATTAAAGGGATCTGTGCAAAAAACTTAGTTCTAAGGTTTCTAGCATCAAAAGCAAAGAAGTAAACAATGAATTATGAAGCACAGTTGATTTATTCAACTTGGCACATTACTCTTTATAATCTTATGCCCTCCATTTGTCTCATATTTAATGATATATTTGCCAAATATATAATTTTTATCATTCTTTATTTAAACTGCTTTTGCCTTGTATTTGTGCATTCTCAGAAAATACAGACCCAAGATTAAAACCTTATAAATGCCAAGAATTTTGTCTTCATGAGGTGCATTCAGGCATTTATTAAATATTCTTCCTACTATGATAATGATGATGATAGCAAATATGATAAGCAGTATGCAAAGAAAAATTCAAAAGGAGCATACACTGAAACCTAAAGAAGTAACAATACCATCTCTGAGGACTAAGATGATAAATAAGATCCCTGACTATTATTTTACTGAGTTTGTAAAACTAAAAAACATGTGCATTACTCATGTAACCTGAAAAGGTAAAGACTTTTTTTTAAAGATCATTCCAGTCAAAGGTTTCAACATTAATCTGCCCCAAAAAAGAAAAATAGTAAGAAGCTGGCTCAATTTAAATCAGCTACTCAGGCTAGCTTCAGGATGGGGAGCACTGGAAAAAAATCAGAATCTTGCTTAACAAAGAAATATTAATACCTTTCACTGAGAATCAGACATCGCTAAGGAAAGACACTACAGTGAAGGAATCACCCCAAAATAAATTCTAAGATGCTGTCACCTTACGAAAGTGTTTTTATATAATTCACTTTTAGGTTTTGAGAAAGATAATAAGGATATGATTTGTGGCCCAATATTCACAATCCAGAGGTGGATCCCAGGATCAAGGCCTGAATCTGGCTCCCTGCTCAGGAGGGAGTCTGCTTCTCTCTTTGCCCCTCACCCTGCTCGTGCTCTTTCTCTCTCTCTCAAATAAATAAATAAAAACTTGGGGCACCTGGATAGCTCAACTGGTTAAGCAGCTACCTCCGGTTCAGGTCATGATCCCAGGGTCCTGGGACTGAGCCCCACGCCAGGCTCTCTGGTCAGTGGGGAACCTGCTTCCTCCCTCTCCCTCTGCCAGCTGCTTCCCCTGCTTGTGCTCACGTGCTCTCTCTCTCCCCCAAATAAAGAAATAAAATGGTTAAAAATAAATAAGTAAATAAATAAATAAAATCTTAATTAAAAAAAAAAGACAGGTATAATAAAAGCTAAAATACTGGGGTGGCTGGGTGCTCAAGTCAGTTGAGCATCCAACTCTTGGTTTCAGCTTGGGTCATGAACTCAGTGTCTTGGGATTGAGCCCTTTGTTGGGTTCTGTGCTTGCATGGAGTCTGCTTGAGATTCTTTCCCTTCTGCTTGCCACACCCCCCTACCCACTCATATGCTCTCTAAAATAAATAAATTTTTAAAAGCTGAAATACTATACAGAGAATAATTGTTCTATAAGAAATAAATGCCATTAAAAGGATAAAGGCCAAGGTTTCACTGTGTGATACAGACACATGCATGTCTGGAAAAACTGCAGTGACTCACCAAATAATTCATTTATAAATACCTACAAAGAGACCTCATGGTGCCAGACTGTTAAAGCTCTTAGCCCAGGCTACAGAAATTCCATACTATAGCCAAATAGAAGCACTAACGGTTTCTGAGCAGGAATATAATCTAATAAATGGCATATTAGAGCATTAGGAATACTAATATGAAAGCGATATACTTGGTTAGTATGGTTAGAGAGAGAGAGAGAGATATTAGTTAAGTAATAATAGCAACCAAAGGATTTAAACAGACATTTCTCCAAAAAAATATATAAATGGCCAATAAGCTCATGAAAAGATGTTCAACATCATTAACCACCGGAGAAATGCATATCAAACCCACAATGACATACCATTTTATACCCACTAGGATGTCTATAATCAAAAAGACAGACAACAAGCAATGGCAAGGATGTGGAGAAAGTGAACCCTCATACAGGGCTAATGGGAATATAAATGGTGTGGATGCTTTGAAAAATACTTCGGAGTTATTCCTCACAAAGTGAAACACATATACTATATGACCCAGTGACTCCTCGTAGGTATATACTCAAGAGAACTGAAAAGACAAAATTTCACAAAAACTTGAACATAAATGTTCATAGCATTATTCACAATAGCTAAAGAGTAGAAACAACCCAAACATATACCAACTGATAAATGGATAAATAAAATATAGTATGTTCATACCTGCAATATTATTTGGCAATAAAAAGAAATGAAATACTAATGCATGCTACAATACAGATGAACACTGAAAACATGCTAAGAGGAAAAAGTCATAAACAAAAAGCCATACATTTTACGGTTCCATTTATATGAGAGATCCAGAATAGGCAAATCTACAGACAGGAAGTGGATTAGTGGCTGCCTAGGGCTGAGGGTGGCTAAGAGACATGGGAAGTCCTCCAGTAATTGACTGTGGTGGCAGTTATACAACAAAATGAGCATACTAAGGAACAATGATCCTCTAAATGAGTAAACTGTGTGCTATGTGAGTTACCTCTCAAGGCCATTAATACAAAACAAAAAACAATAGCAACTGACCAGACACCAATGTTTAATAGGAGAGAAAAAACAAAACCTGCAAAATACCCAAGAATATTCTGAAATAAAAACATAATTTTTATACGACTAAACATTCTTCATTCACCAAGCAAATATTAATTCAACACCTAAAAAAGCCACTGAAGATTTCCTTAAGATTATTTTTACCTTGGGGTAAAAAAGTATAGATGTAGATCTTTTTAAGACTTACCAGTGATCTGAAGTTGTGATTTCATGGTCAGGCTACCCATTGAAACAAGCTGTGATCCACTGCCAGACATACCACCAATAGGACAGCAAATCTGAGCATGGAAAAGGAGACACTGTAAACATCAAAAGATCCCATATAAAAAATATGTATAGTGCTAACTAGGCTATTTCCATGTCTCACCAAAGACAACACAATAATGGCAGCATCAACACTGCTAAATAAAATTTCCAATTCTAGTATTCATCCTGTCTAAACTATCAACAAAATGGCATTGCTTTTCATTCCTTCTTCCATCGTTTACATTCTTTCCTTGAATTCCCAAGACTCGTTCTCTAGGTTTATGTCCTACCTCACTGATTGTTCTAGGCTCCTTTGAAAATCCCTCCTGTTTTCTCCCCTCTCTTAATGTTGGAGTGCCCTAGGGCTCAGTTCCTGGTTCCCTCTTAACTTCTCTACACTCATTTCCTCAAGGATATCATCCAGTATTATGGCCTTAAATGTCATCTATATACCAGTGAGCCCCAACTTTGTATTTCTATCCCAGATGTCATTCCTAAACTCCAAACAAGTTCACTTGGATATCTAAAAAACGCCCCCCCAACACCCCGCCAAATTTCACATCAAACACATCAAACTAAACTGCTGAGAGCAATTCCATCCTTTCATATACTCGGGCTAAAACCTCCACCCTGCCTTTTTTATTTCCTTCCTAACTGTCAGCAATTCAACAGTCTCTGCAGAACATATCCAGAATCCAACCTTTTCTCACCAACTCTACCATCAATCTATTCATAGTGGCCTCTGACAGCCTGACTTTTCTTCCTGGATTATGCTTCCCTTCTAAATTACTTAATTACCAACCAGTCTCCCTGTTTCTACCTTGTGTCTAGATTCAGTGCCTATTATGAACACAATCAGGATGGAAAGTGTTTAAAACCTGGGATGCCTCAGTGGCTCTGTCAGTTAAGCATCTGCCTCCGGCTCAGGTCATGATCCCACTGTCCTGGGATCAAGACCCAAGTCCGACTCCTCGCTTAGCGGGAAGCCTGCTTCTCCCTCTGCCCCTCCCCGCTACTCTTCTGATTCAAAGTGCTTGTAATACAAAAAATCCTCCAAGACATCATTGCAACATTCTATGTAGTTATTACCTTGTCCTCAATGCCCAAAGGATGTATGTTAACAGTACTATGACATCAAGACAAGTGAATCAAGAGACAGCAAGTGAAGTCCAATATCTGGGTGCTAATCTTATTATGCATGATACACTACCATTCTAGTTGCTGATCTATATCAACAATTTATTGCTGGGGAAATATCCTTCTTAATGGTATGGCATACATTAATTATTCTAAGTTAAAATTACAAAGTTGAGAAGAAAATAAACTTAAGGTCTCTACAGAAATAAAATATATTTTAAAAACTCAAATTAACTTCATATAGAAAAGACTCATGGAAGTACAGAATACATTTTTAGGAACAGTGATTCTCCCCCAGATAATTACAGGGAATCACTGTAGTAGTAACAGATGCTCTGTAAAAACATGCTGGTAATTTAAATAATTGATGAACTTATACATATTACTTTTATATATCAAGTATTTTAAATTAAGAAAAATTAAAATAACCATACATATAATAATAAAAAAGAAAACCTAAAGAAACCAAATAATATATATTGGCAACCAGTTAAATCACATATTCGTACCATAGAACAGAATACTATGCAGCCACTGAAACAAGTAACTTATTAATGAATGAAGCTAAATGATTACAAGAACATTTAAGTTACAAAATATATACAATATGGTGTATTTTTTGCAAACAAAAATTATATACTGCAGACAAAAATTATATATTCCTATAGGTACCCATAAATAAATGCAAAAAAGGTATACATCTGAAACTGGTCACAGTGGTTACTTTTGTAGAGGAGAAGAATATGTACAGAGGTGGTCATGGGGATCTTTAGTTTTATATGTATTTTTTAGGTTTCTAAAAGAAAACATGTATCACAGATGATTTGGACAATTTAAAAACAGGCAAGAGAGAGTAGATACAAGAGAGAATCTATACTTCAAGTCCCATCTTTCCCCCTGAGCTCCAGACTCTTAGGTTTGACCATTATTTACAAATGCATACGTAACTGGTTAAAATGACTAAAATTTTACACTCACCCTGGCCTCAATAGCACCACCATCCATTCAGTTGCTCAAGCCAAACAAAATATGGGCTTCATCTTTCCCTCAATAAATTCCAAAGATTCTGCCTACAAAACATACCCTACTATATAGCTACTCTTCTCCTTCCCTTCTTAAGCATCCAAGTCCAAGCTACAAACATCCATTCCTTCCTTGGCAACAAATTATGAGAAGTTATTAAACTGGTCTCCTTGCTTCTCCACTTGCATCCAGCTCCTGCTCTCTCCCCATCCCACCATTCTCCACAGAGCAACTAGAGTATGCTTTTAAAAATAAGTTAGATCAGGGGTGCCTGGGTGGCTCAGCTGTTTAAGTGTCTGCCTTCCGCTAAGGTCATAATCCCACAGTCCTGGGATTGAGTCCTGTGTCAGGCTCTCTGCTCACTGGGGCATCGCCTTCTCCCTCTCCCCCTGCAGCTACCCCTGCTTGTGCTCGCTCTCTCTCTCTCAAATAAATAAATCTTTAAAAAAAAAAAAAATCATATTCTACTCTGCTTAACCACTCAGTAACCTCCTATCTCAGTTAAAATAGAATCTAAACTTCTTCCCTGGCTTACAGATGCCTGACTCCATTCTACCCATGACTGACTCTCTGATCTTATCTCGCTATCATTCTCCCCCCTTACCCATTAAAAATCTAGCTTTCTGGGGCGCCTGGGTGGCTCAGTGGTTAAAGCCTCTGCCTTCCGCTCAGGTCATGATCTCAGTGTCCTGGGATCGAGCCCCACATCGGGCTCTCTGCTCAGCGGGGAGCCTGCCTCCTCCTCCTATCTCTCTCTGCCTGCCTTTCTGTCTACTTGTGATCTGTCTGTCAAATAAATAAAAAAAAAAAATCTTAAAAAAATTAAAAAATAAAAAAATAATAAAAATCTAGCTTTCTTTCTATTTCTCCAAACACACTAGGTCGTTCCAGCCTTACAGCCTTTGTACCTAACTGTTCCCTCTGCTGGGCATGCTTTTTCCTCTGTCTTTAAATAGGTGCACCTGAGTGGCTCAGTAGATTGAGCATTCTGCTCTTGATTTCCACTCAGGTCATGATCTCCCAGTCCTGGAATCAAGGCCCACATTTCTCAGTGGGGAGTCTGCTTGAGGATTCTCCCTCTGCCCCTCCTCCAGCTCATGCACACACGCTCTCTCTTGCTCTCTCTCTCAAATGAATAAATAAATCTTTTTTAAAAAAATAGCTAACATCTTATATTCAGTCTTCAAGTTAAGTATCACCTCCTCACATCTGTCTGGACTGATCCAATCTAAAGTAGACACCCAATCACTTTATGTGACATTACTGAAAATTTTCTGGCTTATGGACTTTAAAGTCCATAAAAGCAGGCACCTTCTCTACCTTGTTATCAGTGCCTAGAATATTCTGGAAATTTTGGTGTGTGGTTTTTTTTTTAAGTCCACAATTTCACCTGTCACAATACCTAGCATCAAAAATACAAGAAATAACAAGTATTGGCAAGAATGTTCAGAAAAGGGACCCCTGTGCACTGTTAGTAAGAATGTAAATTGGTATGCCACTGTGGAAAACAATATGGAATTTCCTTGAAAAATTAAAAATAGAAATACCACATGATCCAGTAATTCCACCACTGGGTATTTACCCAAGAAAACTTAAAACATTAATTCAAAAATATATAAGCACCCTTATCTTTACTGCAGCATTATTTACAACAGATAAAATATGGAAGCAACCTAAATGCCCATCAGTAGATAAATGGATAAAGATCTGGTATGTATATACAACAGAGTATTAACCATATTAAAAAAAAAAATCTTGCCATTTATAAGAGCATTGATGGTCCAAGAGGGTATTATGCTAAGTGAAATAAGTTAGAGAAAGACAAATACCATATGATTTCACTTATACGTGGAATATAAAACACAAATGAACAAACAAAAAAAGCAGAAGCAGACCCTAAATACAGAGAACCAGCGGTTGCCAGAAGGGAGGGGGTGAGGAGACAAGGCAAAATGGGCAAAGAAAGTGGGAGATACAGACTTCCAGTTATGACATGAATAAGTCATGGGGATGAAAGGTACAGCATAGGAACACATCAATGGTGTTATAATAGTAACGTAGGGTGAGAGATGGCAGCTATACTTGCGGTGTGCATAGCATAATATATAAAGCCATCAAATCACTATGTTGTATACCTGAAAATACTCTAACATTGTGTGTCAACTATATGTCAATTAAAAAAAAAAAAGAAAAGTCCAGGGGCGCCTGGGTGGCTCAGTTGGTTGAGCCTCTGCCTTCAGCTCAGGTCATGATCTCAGGGTCCTGGGATCGAACCCTGCAACAGAATCCCTGCTCAGCAGGGAGCCTGCTTCCCTCTCTCTCTTTGCCTGCTACTCTGCCTACTTGTGATCTCTCTCTGTCAAATAAATAAATAAAATCTTAAAAAAAAAAAAAAAAATCCAGGGGCACCTGGCCACTCAGTCTGGAGTACGAGACTCTCGATCTTGGGGTTGTGAGTTTAAGCCCCACATTGGGTATACAGATTACTTAAAATCTTTTTTTACAAAATTAATGAAACTTTAAAAATTAAAAATAAATAAGTCAGTCAGTGCAGGGATGCCTGGCTGGCTCAGTCCATAGAGCTTGCTCAAGCAGTCGGTAGAGACTCTTGATCTCAGGTTGTAAATTTGAGCCCCTTAAAATCTGACATCTTAATGTCAGATAGGTGGAATCATACAATTTGAGGCCTTTTCAGATTGCCTTCTACCACTCAGCAATATTACTAAAGGTTCCTCCATACCTTTCCATGGCTTGACAACCTTTTCAAATTGCTGAATAATATTCCATTGTGTGTTTGGTTTGTTTTTGTTTTTTTAAAGATTTTATTTATTTGACACACAGAGATCAAAAGTAGGCAGACAGGCAGGCAGAGAGAGGGGGAAACAGGCTCCCT